CATTCCAAGAAATGCTTATAGAGACGTTACGCATGTTTTCACAGCCCAAATGCTGCCACAAACATGCCGAGCCAAGCAGACCAGGCGAAGTGGCTTCTTCTGAAGGGTACAATACCCCCAGATCCCTTAGCCTGTAGGGCTCGCGGTGGACCTTAATGGCCGTGTCCGAGCCCCATTCGTCTTCCATGTCAGCTTGGGATTCCGCAGCTTCGAAGGCATCAAGAGCCTGCTCCCAGGAATGCTTCTCAAGCAAGGAGGGAGGCGGGATTTAAGGGAGTGTTGCCGACAGCCCAAAATTGAATGGCTCATTTTCTAACTCTTAAAAAAAAGCACTACAACAACAAAACAACCAACAACCATATTCGGTTAAGAGCCATCGCTGACATTACTCGTCTAGGGTTGAGCCTGTGATTTTCTCGTCTCCACTAAATCCTCAGGCTTGTTCTCACAGTCAGTCGAGTATTAGCACTGTGGCACTGCGCCAAACACCAGCATCATCCCTCTCCAAGCTGCCTCTCCACCAGACCTCTTGTGGTAGCCAGCGCTATCAGGAGAGCGCTGGGAGGTGTCATGCACTTTCCTTTCTCTTCCCTTTTTGGAACCTGCGTTGGCACGTTACTGGACCGTGAACCACAGATGTACTGCTTGGATGTGTCTGGATCAGTGTTTCCCAATCTGGTCCTTGGGGACCCATAGACAGTCCAGGTTTTTGCTCAGGGAGGTGGGAGGGAGCAAAAACGTGGACCGTCTGTGGGTTTCTGAGGACCGGGTTAGGAAACACCGGTCTGGACGAATGGCCTCCTGGCCTGTTATCTTCCTCAGCGCTGCAAAAAACATCATCATGTTTCCTGCTTTGTGTTCTTCTAACAAAAATCAAGAGTAGAATATGTCATTCTCAACAATGAATAATTTTTATACCCATACATCCATCATCCAGACCTCAGGGTTGCGGTGAGTCTGGACCATCTCCGAAGAAACATGGGGCTTGATGCAGGGGACACCCTGTCTGGGGCTCCAGTACATCGTTATATCTACAAAGTATCTTGCATGTTTTGGAAACTGCAGTATGACCTTCTGTTACCTTGGCCATCGGAAAATGAAACATTTTGAAATGTGAGCCTTTGCAATTAAAATATACAGTGAGTATGCTTCAAGCGATAAACGTCAGAATTTTACAATTCGGGAAAATTTCTCCGACACCGGCACAGGCCACAGGCAAATGCAGGCAAGCGGACGACAGGCCACATTGAATACTGTTGCACTGGATCCCTTACGCACTGTGCAGGTGCTGCTGCAGCCACACAGTCCAGGGAGGGTGGTAGTCTTTGCAAACAAAAAAAAAAAAAGGGACTTCAGAGCAGACGCAGGCCTGAGCAACCGAAAACATTTATTCTGTAACAGAAAAAAAGAGGGATTGGGGTCCTGTCTACATAGAGACCCTGGGAGCTGCAGTGATGGTCACAAGCCATGACTATGAAACGTGCCACAGCCAGCGGGGAATGTGTCTGAGCGCTTGACAGTTTTAATAAGAGCCAGTGAGGACATCTAGCCAATCACTGCCTTCTTGTTTTGGTAGCTTTTCTTGTGTTGTTTTTGCTGCTCAGAGCGTGTCCCCTTTTATCTTCACCAGATGTCAGAGGAAGCTTCCACTGCGGGCTGTTATACTCGCCGTTTTGCTGAACCCAGCAGGACAGTTTCTGTCCTGAAGCTCTCCAGGCGATATCTACCGGCCTGCTGTCACTCAGCCTGACAGTCTCACGGGATGTGCAGCAGCCTTCGAAGCCTTCTGACTCCAGATGCCAAAACGTCGCGTCGTGGAGCGCATAATGGTACGCTCCGACTCGCGGGGGGAATCCGCTCACCACAAGCTTGGCACGGACGCCCCCGACATCCTGGAAGATGTTGACGACAGAGGGTAACGCGGAGCACCGGAACAATTACAAGACAGTGGTGTGGTTTGAATTATTCCTTCAATAAACAATTACAAGTCGTTACAGGCACCAGTGAAGAACTGTGGTTTAGAGAAGAGCAGTGACCAGAAGACACCAAAATACCTCTTGATATAGAGAAGTAATATGATTTTAAAACACCTTTTCCAGCAGAAAGCAGTCAGTTCTTTCACACAGCCCTCGGAAGCCCTACAGTATGTGTTTTACTGTGCTATGGAGCTAGAGCCTCCACCTAAAATCTACCAATGGGAGGAGTGTTTCATACACTATTTTCATGGTGGCAGAAGAGCCATGACCTCAGTCGGACGGCCAACGAGCAGAAAGGCAACGTGACTAGACCAGAGACGTCTGGAGCTGTTCTCTCACCCCCCACAGGAAACAACGATGGTCTGTTCCAAAGGAGCTCCCAATAATGACCGTGTCGCCTACAGATGATGCTCCATACTTCAAAAGCAGGCAGAAAGATTTCAAGTTCTTGGAGGCATAAGACAGGGCACCAGCATATACACAAATACTCTGGCAAATTCAAACAGTTTTCAAAAAGACAGCTGATCAATAAAACAATATAAACGGTCTGGCCCCATGGAGGTAATGCATTCTTCCTGTCCCCGGGCTTGAATGGGATACATTTTTCACCTGCTGCAGAGCTAATGCGATATTTCAGCCCCTCCTTTCCCTCGACACCCCTAAAGCACCAAGGTGTTGTAGACCATAAAAAAACACATCCAGTTTTACTATTTGACCAACACAGAGAGTGTGACTCTGGTATGCATTTGCAGTTAAAATCACTGACAGATAAGGCCCTAAAATATGACTGCAATTAAATAGGATCTGGAATCGTGGAAACTGAGCAGCTGTGTTTGGAAAAAGAACCTGCAGTACATGTGTCTCTCCCAGAAATGTTAAAAAACATAAATAAAACATAACTCATTTTAATAATATAGGCAAGATGTGGCTTTGCCCATATCCTCCTTCCTTCACAATTTACATTAAATATTATATTGATTTTCTTATAATGAATGAAAGGAATTCAACCACACAAAAAATGTAAATATGGCAGCTTCAGCTAACACGGTCTTCAAAAAGCAGGTCTAATTAGCCTGCTACCCTGGGGTACAATCTGAAAGCTGCTTCTGATGGACTTTTCCAGTGAGCTACACGCCCCCGTTGGGACCCGATAAGCATGAGCTCGTTTTCTCAGACAACTGGAGCGTCAGGGGTGGATGTCCGCCTGGCCGGCCAAGGCGTCCAGTGCTCACCCAGGCAAAGACCCATCAGTTACAGATGAACGCTGCCCCAGGAGTCCTTCAGCTGGTGCAATTTGTTTAGGCTTCACAATAGTCTATCTAGGTTCCTGCTCATTGGGTCTTGCTTTCTTTGGAAGATATCGTGTTGCTCGTGCTCCTATGGTACTTACACTTCTAACTGGTAATTCATTGGAAGTTCAGCCATGCTGTTCTCATGCCTGTCTGACTGCTTGACAGCTGTACGTTTGTAATGTGCCCTTTGCCCTTCCATTTCCGTTGCTTTAGGCAAAAGCGTCTGCCAAATAAAATACCATGTTAATTGGTTGTCAACTACGATGTTATTAGCACTCCATAAATGAGATTACCACACCTACGGATTCCGTGCTGGACCATCACCGTTCATCGTTTTGCGCATTTTCACCAAGGCGTCTGCCAAAACAGACATGCACGTAAACGTCCTGTAAGGTCAGTGACGTCTGAAAGGTGCGTCTGACACGAAAAATTTATAGACTATAGTTTTGCAAACGAGGTCGGCTCAGCGTTGGCATGCTGAGCATCAACAGGGTGAGAGCTGAACTTTGCTAAAACCAGAAACCGTTTAACCGTTTAAACATGAGTGCAGGGAATCCGTGACACACCGCATAATCGGAGAGAGCGGAGGCCTCGAGACGTAATGTAGACCAGGGGTGATATGTCTGGGTTTTTATTGAATCCCTGTTCCCAGTGGAGACACCAAACAGGGCACTGGGAGGAAACGATTCAGCTGCATTGTGGGAAAAAGACTCTCCTGGGGACAGGGAATCCCCGCGACGCTACTCGAACGCTTTGACGTCCTTGGGAAATGTTGTGCCTGTTCATCGAAGGGCTACTCAAGAGACAACACAGACCTGTCTGCTCCGTTACGTGGGGATAACTGTGTGCTACCACGAATCTGCAAACAGGAACCACCACAAGGAGTGGAACAGGACAAAACTTTTGGGCTAATACATTAGCAAAACTGGCTAAGCATATTAGCCATGTATTTCCTCCTGTTGATAACTGGTTATTTATATCCAAAAATACAGAAATCACACTATTTAATACTGTTTTTGACAACGTACCCCTAGTATAAGCTGAAGTTAAAGGTGTTAAGGGTTAAGCTAAACAGTGGGACCTGAATACTGAGTTTTAGTACAGTATTTTAAAATACTTTCACTTGTCAAACTTCTAGACGTAGCCATATTTCCAGAGATTAAGAAGGTCTTAAATGTTTTGGGGCATTAATACTGTTATGTGATGTATCACCTGGGATGTAACCCAGCTCTTCCGCGCACTGTACTGAAATCAGCGCTGCACACATACGGTAAGGCCATAATCATAACAGGGCACTAGTGAAATTCCTTATGCACGTGCAAAAAAAAATAACTGGAAGCATGAAGAAATGAAAAACGGGCTGTGAGAAACGTTCCCTATTAAATGACTACTCACAGAAGAGGAGCGCTACACTCAATCTGCACGTACAAATAAACACATACGGCCATACATGTCAAACAAAGAAGTGCATTAATTAAAAGCATATCATTATTAAACCTAAATTAAACTTTATTAGCTAAATTCCAACGTACAAAACTAAATAGACTGAGATTTCCTTTTATATTCTGATGGATCCGACAAATTCAAAACACAATAAAAGTGCCTTTCAACTTAGGTAATGTTTAAATAATGAAGCAGGCTTGTTACAGAGCATGGTAGCCAAATTAAGCTTTTCCTTCTGTCAGGTAGGTCCTCAACGCTGGAAGTCTGGTCCATCCTGCGTCACACTTACCTTTTCGGCAGTGTCGTTTGGGCATTCTGCACCTCCGGGACTCGGCTATGGTGGGGCAGGGTATCGAGTCCCTGGGGGGCTTTTTGACGATGGGCCGGGTGCGGGTCTCCAGGCCCCATTTGAATCCACAGGTTCTGTTCCTCCGGGTGCAAGTGCCCCAGTCGCTCCACGGACCAACCTCACAGCCATCTGTGGCAGAGTCAGCAGGGCGGGAAGGTTACTGCACGGGGCTCAGAGACAACAGCTACGTGTTTGTAATAACCTACATTTACTTTGTTACCGGCACTTAAATAGTAATAGCTTGCAGAGACATAGAGTCTTTTTTGCTAACATGTTGCATGTTGGTCGCTTTAGATATTCAGTCATAGACACTGTAAGTCCTACACTAGACTTACAACAGCATTCATATCAAAATCTTACACAGATTAAAGGCAGTAATGAGCAGGAATCTGGAGGCACTGAGGAGCAGATTAGCTGCTCTCAGATACAATCAGTGTGTAGCTTTAGAATAAAAAGGTCAACGGTTACATTATGGATTGTTATTAATTTCCATGAATGTCAATATTTATGCATTCATGAACACTGAATAAAACCTTAAAATCATCTGTAAATAACGAGGCCTCTTGTTAAAGGTACTTATGCCAGGTGCGACTTGCTCAATTGGAGCTTCTCTGGTGAATTTCCAAATGTGCAAATCTCAAAAATAAGTTTAAGCACCATCAGCCACATAGCTAGCTATGAAGGTAATAAAGATTGTCACTCTGAATTTATTTGTCTTGCCTCAAGGTAAAAGATGTTTGGCTACTGAATTTGTCCTGGTGAATAGGAGTAACGCAGTCTGGTTTCTTCAGGACGCTGAGCTGCATCCTGCTGTCTTGCAGTTGCTAGTTTATCAGGTATTACTTATCAGGTCCTTTGTCTTGCACATACATGCACATTTACTTTCTCTTGCCCTCACAGAAAACAAATTGTCCAGATATGACAATTATATCACAGATATACATTGAACATCAGTGTGCATTGTTCGAGGAAACAATTGCTCAGCGTTTGATGTGAGTTACTTTCTGGATAAACAACAAATGTAGGGTTTATCCATTTCGTATTTCGTAAATTTAGTAATATGTTTTTTTTGTAACTGATACTGCTGTACTTCTGATCATTCTTTTATTTGCACAGTATTAAAAACATTGTTAAATTTTATTTTAAGCTTGATTGTTTTAGGCCTAGTGTTATTTCAGTAGTTGCACCAGTAGTTCTTGAGAGCCCCACCCACTCCTGCATATGCTGTTATTCATCATAACTGAGGGAGTGGAATTTAGAATTTATATAATTTATAATATTGATTACAAACTTACACTTACATTTTCTGGCATATGATAAATGATGTTTATTAACATAAGAACATTTTATGATGACTAAACTTTGATATTGTTTTATTCTTATGCTAACTGGAATGTATTTAAATGCCATACAACATTGGGAAGCTTATTCCAAGCTAAAAATCCATTTGTGTAAAGAAAGGCTTTCTTTTAAACTGCCCCCCCCCCCTACAATTTCCTGTTAATTTCTTATTGATGTTGTTGTTGGCTGTGGGCTAAACTTAAAGGTCCAGCCTCCTCTGTCTCCATTATTACACACAGTTTGTAGGTGAGGTCTTATTCTGGCACCGTAAAGCCTGTGGGTGCCAGTGCTTCCTTTAAGCTCAATAAAAGCATTTTCTTTGCCTTTTGAAGACAAGACACTACCTATGTAAACATCTGCATTTTTCTCAGGTAGTACACTTCCACAATCGAATGTGGAGCATACAATCCTACTTCCGAGTCAATTTCCTCTTGATCAGCTAGTATTTACTTTACTGTCTGTGTTGCTTCACATGAATCACTTAAGCATTGTGTCATGTTTAACTGGTTCTAATCTATTTCCATACAGATTAGAAAAAGTAATGGTCCTGTAACAGAACCCTGCATTACACCACATAATAATGACCCTGCTGGAGGGGAAACATTTTTTATTGACACATTGCTTCCTGTTCAGAAAGCCATTCTATATCCAAATGGTCACATTTTTTATTTAAATGACTAGTTTTAACAGCAGTCTTTAATATGGTGCTTGATTAATCTTTTACTAAGATAAATCTAAATAAATGTAACCAAAAATCATAGCACCACCTGGCAGATAACTAACAGACAGAAATTTTCCATCCAGCGAAACAGAGGAAAAACTCCCTTTTCCAAATCCATACAAATCTCTGAAATGCTATTGCTGAACAAGTGGTCTGGTACTTTGGCCTGAAATCCAGCCTCTGCAATTTACCTGTAATAGAAGCAGGGCTAACTTGTCTGCATTTGGCAGGATATGTTTTACTCCACTTTATGAACTGGCAATGTATTTGCTTTTTTCCAGTCTGCAGAAATCTGCTCCCATCTCTAATGAGTTATGGAATATAACAGCTATATTCAGTGATACAGTTTTTGTGGCTGTCTAAGTTAATAGGGCCTGTTTTCACCTCTGAAACCAGGAACATTTCCCCTTACCGCCACACTCCATGCTGTCCTCCAGAGGGGCTAAACCTGCAGGGCACTCCTCAAAGCACCGGCCTCTGTGCAGGTACTGCCCCGCCCTGCACTTCGTGCAGAAGTCCTTGCTGAAGCAGAACTCACAGTTCTCTAGCCGACACCCTGCAGAAGAAGAAGGCCCTGCTTATCAGCCAGACTTTACATCGGCTTTTCCATCTCTCTACTCCATACATCTGATCGTACATGATGATGTTAATACTGTTTGGGAATCGATCAAAATCTGCAATCTGTGTGGTAAGTTTTAAGGGTGAGAATTAAGTGCTGGAAAAAGACATCGGATCGTCGTTAAACGCAAATCGACGTGAATTTATTAAAGTATTTGATCTGAAGAGAAAAGAAAAAAAACAAAACCCAGAGTTTTTGCTCTGAATAAGAAGCTTAGCTTTATCTTCAAGGATTAAGAACATAAAAAAGCTTAACTAAGCTCACGTTTCTGACGTCCGTAAGGGTTTGATTAATACCGCAGTATATGAGCACCACCCAGCAAAACAGTCAGCTAAAAGTAGGAAAGGAAACATTTTTAAACCTGATTATAAAAAGCAGCAAATCATTCCTGTTGTATTGCATAGGAACATCCTTTCCCGCTTTGGGACTCTCTCATGATGTCTCTGACAGACTAATAAGAATTAATTAGGTTACAGAATGGCAAATGTAAGCAGCATGATGCAACTGAAACCATATGATTCTGTGAGTGTCATCAGGAAAACAGACCCTTTGCCTTGCCCAGCGACTGGGGGCATCTGGCTGGCATCCCCCCCCCCCCCTTTAAGATCACCTTTTCCCCCTTTGCTGCACACAGCTTTCATGTCGGCGGTCCGCAGTGGCCCCATCGCCGCGTAACCGTGAAAGGCCGGTGGCGACTCGCACCCTCGGCTGCGGTTTGGACGGGCAAGCCGTGCAGGCGATTAGCAAATGACATCACGGGGCAGCCAGCACCATGCTCGCTGGAAACTTCCCCCCCACCCCCCCCAGCACCTGCGTCATCACCCTTTCTTTTTTTTCTCACAGTGAGTCACCCGCAAGCGCACACCAGTTCAAGGAAATCCGCAGGGGCTTCTCTCGCTAATAAGGGGTAATTCACCAAGTTGCTTCCAGAGGGTTGTGCAACATAAATGCTAACCTCGAGCACTGACATACAGCACAGTGAAGTCAGGGGGGAGAAACCGCGCTTCCCTCCCGCCGGGCCGTCTGAAAGGGTCGCTGATGTCACCTGCTGGAGGTTCCGGGCGCCAAGCCTGACGACTGACGTGCGGCTCCAGGGGGCGCCCTGGCTCCGCTCCAGGCCCACGGGCCTCAGATTCGCCCACAATCGTGGACAGACCTGCCCCTTGCTGCGCCCCCGCCTGCAGCGAGGAGAGCCGTAATGTCGCCCCCTAGCTGGGGAACAGTGCCGACGCTCCACAAAGTTTTCTTTTGGCCGCAGTCAAGAGCTGTGATGGCGACTGATGGAATGAGCCTTGGAAACTTGTGCATGGGTGACAGCGAGTCACGTCCGCCCACCTTTCACTAACCCGGGTCCCATCAGCATAAACCCGAGAGCGACTGACAGCCCGCGGTAACCGCAAGCTGCTCAGGGTATCAGAGCCCCATTTCACCCATCATTAGCGCCCATTAGTGTCAGGAAGACAAAGAGCTGAGCTCAGAAAATCTAATCACATGCTGCATAAACATTGCCTGTCCTATGCAAACACCGTAGTTTACAAAGACGATGATCTTTGGTACCGATGTCCGAAGGTGGCGACACTTTTCCTAGGGGTCCCTGACTCCCATTAATATTGTTACATGAATCCCCCGAGTTTGTTCTTTTTTGCTTTCAGATGAAGAATGGCCAGAAAGAGCCTTTGGGGAATAACTGGTGCACCTTCAAAATATCATGTCATAGTTTAAATGGCTAGTGGTTTCAAATTCTGTACCTACCAGCGATTGTTTCTCATGCTAAACTGTAAAATGAATTACGCACAGTAAATAAATACAATAAAATTATTTGTAAACTAATTTGGAACTGTGGTTATAATCAAAATTTGGCTTTATAATTTGCATATATTTGCAAATAAAGCAGGTATATTTGTATGCGTATTTATTTATAGTGTCATTATTGACTATTATTAACTATAAATTAACTTTATCAACACATGATGCAGGAGAATGTTTTAAAAGTCATAAATAAAATCTCATTTTCCCACTCTGGACTAGCATCTAATTTTCACACTCTGGACTAACTCATAAGTTAACTGGCAAACGAGTTGGCAGCTTAATGGTCTTTTTGTCTTTATTGACTGGGCTGTGAAGTCACATCCTGACAGGGATGGATCCAGACGGTGCGGCCCACATGAGCAGGCCTCAAGCAGCACCTGGGGGAATGGGACACCTCGCTCTGGCCCATCGTACCGCTCTTCATCCGCAGCGGAGGGGGCACATCCGTTATGCCTTTCAGCTACTGGGGAGCCTGAATCCTGGACCCTGGGTCCTCAGCAATGAAATTTTCATGAGGAATCATCATATTCTCAAGTTAGGAACCCACAAAATTAATCTCTTCCTACTGAACCACCCATACAAAATTCCCTTTGAACACATTTTGTATTTTAGATATAACAGCTGTTTGCCTGCACAAACTTTCAGAGAATTTGTTTATAAATAATCACGCTCTTACAATCACAGCCGAACAAGACCGAAAGCAGGAATGCTACTGGATGATCTCCAGCCCTGAAAATAATTACGTTTTCTCATTTTGATCATGTTTCTCGAATCGCCTGCTATTACGCAAATGGTAGCGATTTACATTCGGATGTACTGACTTGCGCATATAATTTTTCTGGAAAAGAATGGAATATTCAAATTCCCTCTTAATGGGATTGGGGCAAATCTGGGTCCTTATGTTAAAATAGAGCGATCGCGGGATAATGCAGGGTTTTTGCTGAGACAATGGCTCCATTCACCGTTTTTGCTTGAAAAACGGAGGATATCAAGGGGCAAAGCTGGCAAAATGGAAAGTAAAGAGCTCAGTGTAATTTTTAGCTGTGAAGACATAACAGCTTTGGTGTAGCCCTGGCTAATATACGTTAGCTTTGCGCGGTATGGAAACTACATCCATGGCAACCGTTTTGTCACTGCCGGTCTTTTGCGGCTTTCAAGGGCTGTCTGACTTTCAGAAAACTCCAAATGGAGGGTGGAGAGTGAATCCCCGGGTCGCCGTTTCACATGGACCGTCTGGACCTGTCTGTGCTGTCGGCCCCCTGGTCTGGGGCCCGCTCCCCGGTGTCCTGTTGACTGGACCCTGGTTCCCTAGGAGGCCTCATTTCAGCGTCTGTCAGAATCTTGGCTGTTCCTGGGAAACGGCACTTTTTCATTTCACACGAAAAGCCGCAGCCAATGAACCAGGCCGTCTGCAGACCATAAAGGAGATCATTTCATGCCAGATTTAATGTTAAAAATAAGCTAATAAGTGAACAAGGGGCCATGCATTTTACTAATTGGAGTACGCTTTTATTTTTTGTTAAGAATGCATGAAATCTTTTCCCCTCCCTTTTGTTTTTTAGACCAGAACACATTATGCTGAGGGTAGAACTGAATGTGTCTTGAGGTTTTGTCTGTTTCATGTTACAGGGGCACACAAAGCTATGTAGCCCAATTAATTCATTAGAGGGCCTTTCTCCAAGTGTCAGCGATGGAGCGCAGGCCGCGAGGCGCTCCGCAGACACACCAGATACCTTTTGGAAGTGAAAACGATCTAGAGCTACTGAAATCTGCCATGGTGTGTGTGAAAAGCCAAAACGCGTCAACCCTTCCGGCGACCAGAGGAATCTTACTGGAGCAGATGCTGAAGTCCGGCCCACGCAGGCCGTAGAATCCCGGCGGGCAGGCGTGCAGGCACTCGCCATATTGCCGCATGCCCTCGCGGCGCAGGAAGAGGAAGAGCCGCGGCTGGCAGGTCAGGCAGCCGTTGTCATTGGAGCAGAAGGCACAGCCCCTGCAGATGGGGGAGGCGGCATTGCTGGCTGCGGAACAGAGGAGAGCGGCGTTGGTGCATTAGCAAGCGCATTCCTGCATGACATTTTGTGAGCTTTACTTATAACTGATACACTGTATTTATGGTGAGTGAAGTTACCCACAGGGCACACGGCTGGGGTACACCCCGGATGGGACGCCAGTCTATCACAGGGCACACGGCTGGGGTACACCCCGGATGGGACGCCAGTCTATCACAGGGCACACGGCTGGGGTACACCCCGGATGGGAGTCCAGTCTATCACAGGGCACACGGCTGGGGTACACCCCAGATGGGACGCCAGTCTATCACAGGGCACAAGGCTGGGCTCCACTGTGTGCCCTGTGACAGATTGGCATCACCGTTGCAGATAATTTCATGTGTTTGTTGCAGTGTCGTTATTTAATTAACTTCAGCACTGATAATAGCAGAGCTCCACCCTTGAGTGGTAAAGCTGAACCCCACGACACTGACGTTATATAGACACATACAATCAGTCGATGAGATAATTGTGCTGCTCAGATTGTCTCCAAGGACCCGGTGAATAATGACACCTCAGTGATTAAATACAAATTTGTTCACTCTCTTTTCCAGGAAATTTCATTTCGCATAATTCACAGTCAATTTCACCCCGCCCTGTGCAAAGAAGAAAAAAAAAAAACACACACCACACCACACACACACCACACCACACACACACACACACCACACACAGAAACGTGCAGAATGCCATCCAGGATGGGAGGAACATTAACAAAAAACTGAGTAAATTGTAGCACCTTCAGTACTTTGGATCTATCAGTCATGAGCATGATTATGTGGAGGATAAGCAGGGGCTAAGGGTGTAGAATGATCAGAAGAGTAATTGTTTTTTATGGAAGCAATTTTCAGTCGAGAAAAAGAGGAATATTCGGCGTGTCCGGGCTCAGCTCCTCGTCCATCCTCCTTTCATCAGCAGGACAGTGAGGCTCTGTTCAAGCCCAGTGATGCTTGGCTGGCTCTCCCAACGCGTGGAGGCCACTGGCACCTCTCCGCAACCGCACACGCACAGAAGTGTGAATCACGCGCGGGATTCCTTACAGCCGCGTCACCGACCCTCAGCTTGTGATGAATCACTGAGTCATCCGGCTTTACTTGAACCAAAGAGATGTTGGATTATGCCTCAGAAAGAATCACTGTCAGCAAAAATGAATGAAGAAATACTGAATTGAGCATCTTGAAAATTACATAAATTTTTGCAGACATTTCTATACAAAGTGACATACATTTATTTGTGAAAGTTGTGTCGAGGACCAATTCTACTGACCCAGGGATTTGAACCAGTGATCTTCTGATCATAGGTGCAGCATCCTAATCAACTGAGCCACACTACATATTAAAATCCATTAATGGGATCAACAGGAAACTAGATTATTAATTGCTTGGCCTGAGAGTGCCATAGATATTAATAAGGCAGAAAAGGGTCATCTGACCACCCCGAATAGCCACCCATGTCAGACCCACCCCCTCTGAGTTCTGAGAGGACATCACTCCATGACACCCACTAAAAAATGGTTTAAAGAAGACGCTAAAAAACAGTTAACCGTCTATTTAGCTGAACCAGACACCTTCTTGAGGGCCAGCAGACACGCCCGAATGTAAAAGCTGGCCAGTCGGGCAGCATTAAGGCGTGACGCTCAGATTGCATTTCCTCGCAGCCGCCGTATCATGATTCCGCCTCGTGTCCATTTGTTACGCTCGTCTCCGCGGCGCTCCGGCTACTCCCCGCTTCATCTTGTCACAGATGCCTCCGGCAAATCTGCAACAGCAACGCAGAGTACTACAATGCACAATGTCTGGATCGCAAGAGTCCCACATCCTGTAATGATCTGTGGAAAAACAGAGAGGATCTACAAAGGGACTAGTAAGGCCTTTTACGCAGCTGCTATTATAAGATTTAGTGTCGGGGTCATGTCTAGGGGAGGAATTCTCAGCAAAGCCACAGGCTAAGCAAGCAAGGGGCACCAATTTGACAATTCACCGGCCTCACTGCAGCTCTCAGCTAACCCACCCAGGCAGAATCCTGGGAGCCAGTGGGACACACTGGAACAGAAAAAACCATCTGCTCCGGCCAAAAAGATTCACGGATGAATCCAGCTTAAGCATCAACGCAGGCCGATCGCTTAAAATAATCATCATGCGAGGCAAACAGTAAAAGTAGAGCAACTGCGAGAATGCAAAGCTGCGAGTGACACTCGTAATTAGCTTTAGCTAGCCTAACCCCGCAGATACATGGCTGCGTCGAGTTTGAGAAACTGTACAAAAAAAAACACGCCGACCACCGTGTATCGATTTCATCATGTCTAACATCAAACACTAAATGGCTACACTCTCGCTTCATGCTATAGGGTTGCCTAAAAAAGCTGTAAAACCACAGCGCCGTAACAAGTAAACAAACATCATTATAAAATCTTTATTTTTTCCAAATAACAACTGGAGAGCAAATCAAGAATCTGAATCAAAGGGTCCCGCTTAGAGGGACTTAGTTTCCTTCTGCGGCTCAAGGCCGAAAACCCAATTTGGCCCTGGCGTTTAGGCCTGCGTTGACGTGCGAGCTTGTAGAAGTTAACGAAGTGTCGGTGTGTTGTGACTGATGGCAGCCGGCCTCCAGATTACATAAACTGTCATTCGCACACAAACAATGTTATGCCGCCAATTAAAAAAAGACATCTGGACCATATGGGTACTTTGAGTCGCTTTGCTTAGCTTGACCCAAGTGCATAATTTGCTAATTAACATCAATGCCAGTGTGTAACATGAAAGTCAATGATTACAATTATTCCATCGCAAGGTGTGGGGTTTTTTTTCTCGCTAAAAAATCGCAGCACCTTTTCAGATTTCAAAGCCACTAGACGGAACTGTCTGTCATTGGAGATTAGCTACCAGATGATCAGCCAACTATCAGCACTCCACAGCGTTGACCAGACAAGTACCCTCCCCCACACTGTGTCCGTCGAAAGTCCTCATATGCACCACATCTGAAAATGGCAAGCCCTTCTTTTTATTGGCAAATCCCTACGCATTATTTTGAGTTTATTTTAAATAAGGCTTATGTTTTTTTCCTGTTTCCCTCAAAAAAGAAAACGCAATTAGCAATTTCCTAACATTGTTACAGCATGCGGGGTGAGGTGTGATTTTATGGCTTGTTTTTCATGCTGGCTTGTTGCACATCTTGCCATATCGACTCCTGATGCATAACCCCCACCCCTGTCCCAGTAAGAGAGTCCTTTTTTCCTCAGACACTGCTGGGGGCACCTTTTCCATTCGCTAGGTGAGGGGAGCGAGACAGCGACAAGGCGACCAGCAGCAGGGGAGCCGGGGAGGCAAGCAGGACTGACTCCGCTAGCTATGCGGTGGACGTCTACAGCAGAGCAGCCCCGGGTCACTCTTAATGCCTCGGGCTCATTATGGGTTGTTTCAGGACATCCTCCCATGAGTCACCAACCAATCTTTGACCGTTAAATTGAACCTAAAAGTGAACCACAACAAAATAAGACTATCTGATGTCTCAGTATGACTTTTTTACCCCATGGCTGTACGAGAAACACAACATCCACTCTAATCGCTGGATCGAAGCGTGTTTGTTTAAACTCTGTGAGACATGCATGGGACCATGAGGCAGACAGTGGAAAGATGAAAGAGGCAAAGAGCACAGAGCCCTGAAATGGCCCTTGTTTACCATGAGTTGCTCATACAGTCTCATTCACCTTATTTTCATAAACATCCCCCATTGTTTACAATCATAGAAACACTCCAACTTGTAACATGCTTTGTGAATCTACTCGGTGAGGGAAATAAAGTGCATCAGATTAGGGCGGCTTGAATAGACCCGTGGATCAATGTGCAGCCCCCTTTAAGACTGCAAACGCGGCACAAACAGAGCGCAGGTGAGAAGCTGGTCTTACGTCTTGACCTGCCGTTGTGGAGGAAGTGTCGTCCGTAACAGGGTGTCATCGTCCACTTAGGGATGATAAAACGCAGGAGGTCACATCTCACACCAGATGACAACCGTCGCTGTATCAGGCACGTTCAGATTCTGCAAGTCATATCCGTTTAAATAGGGAGGCCGCTGAACGTATAACCCAGACAACAATGACCATCCACCCCAAAAATGACCCGACGCTTTATATAAAGATACGATGGCACCTGACTGAACGATGACAGTAGTGAAAAACAGAACAGCTAAGACAGACTACATAGAACATATAACAATGACATTCTGATGTGTTTATTTAATATTATGGGTTCATTCAGGACATCACATTAGGATCAAAATAAAATCATGACAATCACAGAAACTATATCCTTTTACTGTGCTGTCAATATCAACTCCACAGTCGAAGACAAAATTGACTCGGAGAGCATAGTACTTGATAAGGCTGCTTTTGAGAGTTTACATTTCAAATTGGCCGAATTAAAAAAGAAAAATTATATGATTTTATATGATTATTTTCTTCACTTGTACTTCTCAAGATATGTCAGAATTGCAATCAGGAAAGATCTGTTTTATTAGTACAGACACATTAGGCATGCGACCTTCGTAAACATCCTGCATTTGTTGTCTAAGAAAAAAAAAGGCAGTAAAATCAGTGAAATTTGCAGTAGTGTTAATACAACAGGAATGCTGGGAAACATTCAGTTAAAATATGAAAATTGTGTAACGAGCTCCTGCTGTACAGATGTCGTCCGTTTCGGTGGAGCGCTACCCTGAAATCGCTACATTTTCCAATCCATTTGCCACATCAAATGAAAATGGGAAAAATATGTTTGGTAGAGTTTCTCTCGGCCTGCTTGTGGTCCCTTGGGAGGCAGTTGATGAAATGTCAAAACGCACGCTGGTCCCGTCTGCCACGCCGGTGCAGGGCTGCAGGGAGTGTAAATCCTCAAATCGGTCATCCCCACAGAGCGGAAACCGGGGGGCGAATCGCAACTGCGCCGCGGTTCATGTGAGGAAAATGCCGTTTCCTGCTT